GATCGATTCGGAATTGTATATAGTCTATCTGATGATAAGACTTGTTTTCAGAACAGATATTATTTCAAATTTTCATTTCGGTGGTTAGTACTGTTCTATCGATCTGTTTATTAGATATATTGAGATTTTTATGTACGTTTGGTTTTGTAGTATGCGCTATGTAAGAGATCAATTTATTGATTTAAAGTAATTATAAAGAAAGAAATTTAGAAACGAAATGGATAAACAATGTTTGTCTCGTGATTAAATATTGAACTGGTTTCGATTTGATTGAAATCGATTCTATTGAACAAATTGAACAATGGTTTGTGACGATACGTTGATCGACACGGAATCTATGCGAAGATTAAAACAAAAACAAAGCACATGTATTAATAAATTGGTAAATAGACGCTTACCGTTGTAGTAATTGGTCTTGCCATTTCGGATCCGAACGGTTTTGTTCAAAATATTGTCCGGTATTTCATCGGTCTAAAGAAGGATATAATATACGAATTTATTATCGTTTTGTCGTTGATGATTGATATAGATCATATTTATTTACCTTCTCATTCCATACAGTAATATTCATTGTAGAGGTGTCGTCAGCGACTTTGAAACTTTTCGGATAATACGATTTGTACCAGCGTCATGACCTGTAGAAACGATCAAACCACGATCTAATATGACCATACCTTCCACATCTAAAGGAAGAGAAATGATGGTTTTCCTTCAGATAATATTTATTATCGAGATGACATTCGCATCGAACGATATGGAATCGAAACAAAAACTTAGGTATGAACGATTTATTTTGTATATCAAGTAAAATGATCTATTGATAGGTATTTGTTGAGATTGAATAGAATCAACATAGGATAGTGGTGTAATTTAGAACAGGTCATGTTTACTTGATCTTTGGTGTCATATTGAATTAGATTTTACTTGACAGTCGTCTATTATGATAAAATGATTACAACTCTACATTTGAATGAATATGCATTTATTGTAAACACAAAGTGTCATCAAAAAGATCATGCGTATTCATTGGGTGGATACCCTGAATGAATTGAATACGGTATTTCAGCGAATCTTAAGTTTGCAAGGTAAACTTAGATAGGTATTGATAAAATGAACAGAATGAGACAAGACATGATTCTCATTAGTTAGGACGTCAATTCGTTAGGATAAAAGATTAATCAACAATCGACGATGTCAAAACTTTATCTCACCGAGTAATGCACCGTGTGCCATTTGACTAGCATCATGCAGAGATTTTTTATTGAGTTGAATTGAGGGATTGAAGGAGTTTGAATGATACGGTCGATAAACGGTGGATGGACATATTCGAATTTCAAATCGTGAAAACGGAGTTCGATATCGTGGATTTGCTACTGCAATTTCTCCATTTTGAAGTATTATTTTCTAACACACAAGGGTTAAAAAATGATCATTACAATAGAGTTTCACTTTTACTTCATTCACTTTCACACTTGCGATCAGTCGTTCGGCTTCGTCGTTGAACGCTACAAATTTAATTTCTCCAGATGTATCGCATAAAATTCCATCGATAACTTTATTCAAACCAAACTGTCGAATGTTGTTAAGCAAAATAACCTTGGATCGGATCTGGAAACTAAAGAAAACACGATGGTGTACTTCAATCTGAAATCATCTAATTGGTCAGACTTCGTAGCATGTTCGTCAAGATCAATTATCCGTTGAAATTGTTGCTCAGATGGTGGGAAATATGCTGTAATTGCTGCTATGAAGATATGAACAGTGAGATAATATAGAAATAGATATTATGTGTTGATTACTTTGTTGTTCGGAAGTAGGTTGTTGGTTATGAATCCGTAAGAGTGTATTTGTTCGATTGGAATCTGGTTCTTTAATGGAACAAAGGAGAAGTAAAAACGGAACTGAGTCGTTCTTATGGTAACCAATAAGATAAGAGATCCTTGTCTTACCGATATTCTTTTGTTGAACGTGTATTCTATCATTAGTTGTTATATTTGCTGTTGTGTCAGTTGTCATTTCGTCCGATGTTGATCGATTGAGCAGCGAATGAGTTGATTGGTTTCGAATTACTTCCATTGGATGATTTAAGTCAGAATCCGATTCAACAATTTCTTTGTGACCTTGCAAGAAATAGAATGGGTTGTTTACATCAAGTAGTGTTTCCATACTTAGATCGGATTGTATTGATTGGCTTAATATCGTGAGTGTAGGTGAAAGATGTCCTATTTCAGGTGATTTTGAAAGAACCGTCGGTTTTGTAGGATCTTGGTCCAATGGAACCGGACTTGCTTGATGATGAGTACGCTAAATTGATCCTACGAATTTAAGACAGAAGCTGTCTGTCTATTAAGGCGATAACTGAATCTTACGTGTTGTTTTTCGTTTGGTTGCTTGTCGCGTACGTTTGCTATTGAAATCTAGGCAGGTGAAAATAAAGTAAATGAATATGGAGTAGGGGTGGCACATTTACGTTTATTTGAAATTAACGTAAACGGATTCCGTTAACCGTTAATATTAACGATTAACGTAATAAGGAAAAGCCGTTAACCGTTAAGATCAACGGTTAACGGAACCCGTTAACCTTAATATTAACGTTAACAAATTCCGTTAATGTCAATATTAACGTTAAATAAAATCCGTTAACGTTAGTATTAATCTTAAGCAAAAAACGTTAACGTTAATATTAACGGTTAACGGGCTTCAGTAAATCCGTTAACCGTTGAAATCAACATTAACGAAACCCATTAGCCTTACGGCTTGTCCAAACGTAACGTTGTGACATTTTGACAAAGTATTTTTCGATTTTCTCGAAGACTATAAAAGTTACGGATCTCGTTCAAACGCTCATAGATGCAGCTCGTTAAACTCTATCAATCATAAAAAAATCAAAGATTTCGCTTGAGCTCTTGTATTTCTGCGATCATTTTAGTGTCGCGTAACAGCGTGACATAAAAGGACCCTGACCTTGCACTACATCACTCTCGTTGCTAATTTTTCCATAAGATACTATTCAAATCAAATATAAGAAAGCAGTGTTTTGTACAGCTTTCAAAGGATTTTGTGTTGCTAAAAAAGATTTTCTTCCTACTGTTTTATTTCGTACAGAAAATACGAAATACAAACGTAACGCTGTGACATTTTTCGTAACGTTGTGACACAGTTTTTTGCTGATCATTTTTCAGATCCTTAGGATGCTTAGAATGAAGTGATTTTTTAAAGTGTAAGTCTACTCGGTATTGTGATGATTTATACCTGGAAATGGAATGAATATATTCATGTAGAAGCCCATATTAGAAGCAATAAGTCGAGAACTTGAAAGGAACTGATAAATCGCCTTTTGCTACAAAACCCAAACCTTAATATGTCATTTTGTAGAGAATCAAATTCTGCATCGAATGACATGTAAAAGAACATGTTTTAAGGAGATTTTTTGCTGAGACCACCCAAAATACGATTATGAAAAAGCTTGAAAAATATTTTCTTAGAGAAAAAAGTCGACTACGAACAAAATAAACGTCAGATTCGTAATCAGCGCTAAAAACTACATCTGAAACAGTATTTAGAAACGCTGTTATTGAAAAAAAAATTTTTCAAAACCTGATCAGTGAAGTGTCACTTTACGTGGACATGCCCCTTAATATTGACCTCAACGACTTTTACCTAACTAGGGTTAGGGCATCTAACTTAATTTGAGTTAATTAACAAACATTAATTAACGGTTTTCGTTAACGTTGATTTCAACGGTTAACGGATTTACTGAAACCCGTTAACCGTTAATATTAACGTTAACGTTTTTTACTTAACATTAATATTAACGTTAACGGATTTTATTTAACGTTAATATTGACATTAACGGAATTCGTTAACGTTAATATTAAGATTAACGGGTTCCGTTAACCGTTGATCCTAACGGTTAACGGCTGTTCCTTATTTCGTTAACCGTTAATATTAACTTTAAATAGTTCCGTTAATTAATACCCGTTAATTAACTCAAATTAAATTCAATGGTCCACCCCTAATATGGAGTTCCAAGCTATATCAATCAACTTGATCGTCGATTTCGAGAATTTCGTTGTATTGGTTGATTTGTTTTAGTGGCTTTTCGTTCTCGTGGCATCGTATCTCGATCAGACGTTGATTAGGAATCTTTGATCTTCTCAAATGAGCGAACGTCGTCTTGATCAGATTGAATAATGCGCTCTCAAGGACAAGTCTTAATGAGGAGTCGATATTATACTTCGCTAGAATAATGTGTGATTCTTCTTGTTTATGGATTGGATCGATTGTTATTTGAGAACTGGAAACAGTTCATCTTTTCATGAATGAAATTTAAAAATTTTGTTCTCAATAGATTTAGCTGAAGTTTATCTGAACTCGATGATGAACTTTTTTTGTTTGGAAGTAAGGTGCAACGAAGATCAAAACAAAGCTTTTTTTCGTATGCGTTAGAATTAAATCAATCAATATTTCAAGAAAGAATTTCGAGTGAACGTGACTAAGTGATATATGTACGTTGCGATATAACCATGTAACGTAGGCATTTCCCTGATCTGATTATTGGAAAGTGAGAGTGGAGAATGGCTCAGATGTGTTTCGTGGTTTTTATTTTGAAACACGTCAAAATTCTTGTTTTATCGTGTATGATCCATATATTTATTTGAGACTTATTCCGATCATAGATTAGATATGTTCGAGGCATCAGATATTTGCTGAACATGCCATTTGAAAAGAGGAAGGAAGTGTGCTAATCGAGTAGGATCTAGTATACCCCGAACAATCAGTAGGTCGATGTGAATCACTATGATAGAAAACATGTATGAATTTGCATATAGCCAGGTAATTAGTTTGTTTAGCATACAAAGTCAGGATAAGTTGTATTTTCTTGGCTCTTATCAACGGAACGTCGGTCTTTGCTTTTCAAAGTGTTAGGTTTATAGTCAGGTTTGCGCATAATGGATGTTATTCGAAGAAAACTCGAATATATTTGAAAAAAGTAAAAAGGATGTATCGATAGAATGAGAATCATGATCAGCTGTTTATTTCTTGACTAGTTTTCATATGTAAGATTGGATATTTAAAATGGAATATGAGTCATATTACAGAATGTAATAAATGCTTGAGATAATATTATTTTGATAGAAGATCATCAAATGAGATGATATCTGTATCATGAGCCATATCTAAATCTTGTTGAATAGCGCCTAAATGAGTGTGATGTATAGAAAAGAGAATATGCTCGTATGCCGAAAGTCATACCGGTTGCAGCGCGACATCGTTTGACCACTAAAGAGTTTCGTGAAACATGAGTGGTTTCTTGAGCGGACTAAATAATATCGGAAAATAATTTAGTTTAGATAAAATAGCATCCATATGATTTGACCTACAGTAAATTGCGTTTCATCTGTAATATTCGAACTTGTATGATTCAATTGTTGTGGTCGTACAGGTATGATTGCATTTAAAGGGATTGTCCGATGAATTGTGTAAGTTGATGTGGAATCTGATAGTACTGTGGTGATATCAGAAATTTTCGAGTACTGGTCTTCACAGAGTAAAGCTTTTCCGATTGTGGTCAATGACGAGGATAATTGAACACCGCTTGCTCGAGCTGCAACAATATAGTCGGTTAGTTGAACATTATAACGTTGTAGTTTTCTTTGAATCGAATCAGTATCGATAGCGTTGTTTGGTAATACCTTCGCGTAGCATTTGATTGGTCGATGTGTGTTTGTGAAAAGAAAATAATCATGAATTAACAAACAATCGGTCACTAATGTTTCCGAAGTATCTGTGCATGGCACGATCAAATGTTTTTCGATCTGTAAAAAAGAATCTGGAATAAGTAACTGATAGAAAGCAGGCAAATGTATTGTCTTTCAGCCATTTAGATATGTATAATGAAGGATTTCAAGCGATTCGGGAACAGCTCCTATCAGAACAACGGAAGCTGAGACTCATTGATTCTAATCAAATTCATAGCCTTGTGGACGTAGTTGATTCGTTCAAATATGTGTATCGTTCAATTAGTATGTATTATTATCTGTACGGCTTTCACATGAAGGTACTGATCGGAAAATTTGACTAAGAATATTATTACATAGAAGATCAGGATTGGTCAGAGCAAGAGGCAGGCATGATGAAACAATTATGTGCTATCGATAAACATTTGTGGTAGTGGAAGTAGATACAGAGGGAAAATTGATATTGTTTGGTGGCATATTATGCAAAAGAAACAAATGAGTTCTTACCGTCATATGCGTACAGAGCTTCTTTGGTAATGATAATTTCGGGAAACATAAGAATTTCTCGTATTAACGATGCTTTCAATTCAGCGTTCGATAAACGATTCGATTTTAGTCCGATTGACTCCAATGTTTGTTCAAGAAGATAGCCATGGAAGTAAATGGCGCGATCGATTGCAAGTTCATTGATCGTGATTTGCGGTCCAGTGTATAAGGTGATTCCATGGGATTGTGACACGTTTACACCGACTCTCGCCAAATCGCTTGAAACTTTCGGGACTCATATAATAATCAATTCGAAGACTTTTTTGCTCTTGGACGAAAGATCTAGGACGTTTTGTTCAAGAGCTGTAGCCCGAATACTAAGTACCCTTCGGAACGGATTTTTCAAGTACCTTTTTCTTTCCAACACGCCTAGTTTTGCACCATTTTGTGCCATTGAACTTCTGACGATATAGTGGGATTCGTCATGATCAGGGCTATCATAATCACTCCTTTTTATAAGCTTTTGGATTCGTCTCAGAACCACGGGTCTCTGGAAACCCTTTTCAACCGCCGAGCATTCCAGGCTCGAAATCTCCATAACTAGAGAACTTTGGACTTCGTGGAACACCTCATTTGATAGAGCATCAAACGATCTATCGAATCATGTGTGCGCCGTCGGACGGGAGTAAGATTTCACCGAGATAGGGTTTCCAGAAAACTTACATGGGTTTTGAGAAAATGAAATTTTTTTTTGCTGAAATTGGTTCAAATATATGTGGAAAAAAAATTGTTTTATAGATGCTGTCGTGATAGTTCGTAAAAGATTTCCTGCCTCTTGTAACAGGTGGGATTCGCGGAATTCGTAATTTTCATCAATTTGATCCTCTAATGGTGATTTGTATCGATCGCCGTACAACATCCACTAGCTTAGACTCAAAAATATTTGCTCTTTAACTCCTTCTTCCGCGTCTTTTTCTTCTTCTCATGCTTCCAAAACCTGGCTTTTCTTATTATAAAATTATTAACATTGCAGTACTGACCTATTAACACATGTAGCAATGAAAAATTGCATAGATCTAAGATAGTTCTTCAGAGATCTTTAATGAATATTGATAGATACAAGGAATCTTTTACGAACTATCACGACAGCATCTATAAAACAATTTTTTTTTCACATATANTTTTAAGTTCCGGACTACCATATTCACCATTACTCTGGCTCTATTCTGTTACTGTTCTGCTATTGTATGTGTGGTATTATTCGATTTTGATCCGTACTTCTTTGATAATAAGCTTTTTCTTCAACCCGGTAATCCCAACAACTTCAAAGCATCAACATACCAAAGCTTTAATATACTGTATCATATTAAGTATGATACTTCCTCTTTATATATATACGCAAGTCCGCGATTATTTTCTTTTACACTGCCGTATTATTTCTTCATTAGATAATCATTAGATAATCAATGTTTCGTAATGTCCTATACTCTTTGTACAACATATACACACATCTATATGATCGAACTTTCGATTGAAGCGTGTATTGCTTAACAGTTGACCGCTGTTTGTTGTTTCATTATCGTTCTCCTATATTCTTCGTACAATATATACACACATCTATATGATTGAACTTTTCGACGCTGTAATATTCTTCGATTATGCTATAAACTATTATGTATGTTCACCTTTTCTCAGAAGTGAGATAGTGACAGAAGATGTTCGAATCACGGAAGAATGGAGAAGTGAAAAGTTCAGACAAAATAATGACGATTATGAGAAATAAACGAATTTAATGATGGGAGTCAATCATGGAAGGAAAGTGACACGCAAAGAATGTTACGGAGTATTTTCGCCTAACCTTCTTCATTTCGTTGTCGACATCGAGAATTTCGGAAGTACGCAGTTTGTTGTCGTCCATCTATTTGTAAGTTATGTAGATGTATGAGATCATTGCCTATGATGCAACATCGCGATAAGAGCGGAGCAACATAAACTCTGTGAAAACGGGTTGAATTTGAGATAGTAACAGGTAGTGAGAGAGCATATTGGATTTCCAGCTGAGATCTATCCGCTAGTTGAACAGAGAGAGATGGTGAGGATAACTGGGCTTGTCGACGAAGACAAGAAGGCAACATAGAGAACAGTTTTTCGTTGATCAGTGTAAGAGATGATCTGGAATCGATGAGCAAAGGAACCGATATTCCAGCTACTTTCCCTGAGACCATAAGTGGATTATGTTTCAAAAAATCAGCTGAAGATATGTTGGATGTCGTTTCGACGGATGGGTTGATCAAAGAGCTTCGACACTCCGCCTTGCCAACGCTCTGCGTTCGTTTTTTGAATAAGTGTCTTTAGTTGCTGGTGAACGGAAATAACCTGGCTTACTTTTAGGACAGTCTTCAAATAAATGCCCTAGAATTCCGCATTTACAACACCCGATACCATTCGTATTTTGCGACGAAAGATCGCCAGAAGTGAACTGAAAAAAAATCAGTATTCGTATTTTGTAATGAGTTACCGTTATTTGGTTGATGTAAGACGTTTTCTTCATCGAACGAATGTTCTAAATAAAAAATAAAAGAAAATAGAAAAATTATTTGATTTAGAACGCTTTGTGGTGTCATCATTGTGTAATATTCATGATTACCTGTAACATTGCTTCTATATAATGGTTGTTTAAAGCAGTCTGCTAGACGTTGTTCGCGGTCACGACGGAATAATATCTCCTCAACTTTTTGCGCTTCCAATATAATATGATCAAGCGAAGCACTAATACTTACACCCATCATAGCAAACAAATCACTCCGCATTTTGCATAAGAAATGTTTTATGAAATCAACTTCTGTCTCTTTTGGTCTCTGCTCAAGCCAGACAGCCCGTAGACGAATTAAAAATTCATTAATAGTTTCGTCTTTGCATTGTTTACATTCATACCATTCTTGTTCTTTGCGAGCAATTTGTAAAGGGGAACAGAATTGAGACGTAAATAAGCTGACAAATTGTGTCCATGTTTGTGGTCGTCTGTGACACGCTATCAACTGGCAATACCAATCTAAGGCGGTACCTCGCAAAAACTGAGAAACACCAAGGAGAAGAGTAGATTGATCCCATCGATAAACTGTTTCAGCGTATTCCTGAACACGAATCAGAAATTTATTTGGGCTTTCTGAACATTTTCCAGCGAAAGTTGGTACTGCACTGGTGGAAGGTGTTATAATTGTAAGCGGCTTTGATGTTTTCGCATCATTTATTTCAAGAGGAAGCCCGGCTTTTTTACTGAACTTTTGTGAGTCACCATCTATATCTTTTAGTACTGGTTGAGTTGATACTAAATAATTGGTGGACTGCTTTGCAGACTCTTGAATATCTTGCGACTGAGATTCCTCTCCATTAGTTATGGAATGTAATGTTTGTATAATTTCAGTATATTGCTGCTTAGTTGTATCAAATTGCTGCTTCGTCTCGTCTAACGTCGATCTCACCTTGATGTGCATCTCAGTGCTTTGGGTTTGTATATCGTTCATTCGGGCTTCAATTTCTTCCTGTTTTTGTACGATACTTTTGTACATTTGAGTATATTTTTCTTCTAAATTTGAAATTCGCTCTGCATTGTTTATGCACATATTTTGAATGCGTTGAACAGCTTCGTCCAATGGAATCTTTTCAGTTTGGCTTTTTTCAGGCGGCATAACTTGTATTATATAGTATAGTAGCGATAATAGTGATAATCAATATACAACAAACCCAATTGTGAATCGGTAGAAGTGTGTATGTTCAATCTTCAAAGAAGAAGGGTGACAATTTTTTTCTCTGTTCTGTGCGTATTAATGCAGATACATATACAAACCAGCAAGAGAAAGAAAAAATAGGAAGAGAGAAATATTATTAGAAAATAGAGGCGAGAGAAATATTTAAAAACTATTCATTAAACGGCCCAGACGCTTTTCGATATACACGCAATACAAATTCAAGTGGACATCAACTACAGACAATGCTTGAAAGTATAAAAACCACTACAACATCGGGGACATCTCATCAAGACGAAGGCACAGACGTAAATATAAAAAGTAAACAAGAAGCGAAATTGGTTTTGCATGCTAATACGATTACAAAAATAAATTCTCTGTTGCACAAATTAAATAAGTGTACAGGATCGACAATACCATCGTCGATTACGACACAGAATAGTGGGGTAAAGCTAGAACAACATGCAACAGGAAGATCATCAACATTAAAAACGGATACTTTCTTGGAACATACTCTTCCAACAACTTCGAATCTTACTGGGCGTGAAGTAAAACATGCCGAAAGCAAATCATCAGCATTTCCAGTAAATGATGCGATACATTCAACTATGATGTTACATTCTACAGAAGCTCCAGTATTTCATGGAAAGCACTCAGAAAGTCCAAGACCATTCTTGCTTTGCGTTCGAGAGTATATGAAGTCAGCACATCTTTGTGATGATCTTAGTTTACTCAACGCTGTTTCACAGTTTCTACGAGAATCTGCTCTAGAATGGTATTGCCAATTGCGTGAACTGCATCGTGAACCACGAACATGGAGAGAATTTACCGAAATGTTTCTCATACAATTTGATCCAACTACTCGCAGAGCGCGACAGGAAGCTGAGTGGTATCAATGTAAACAGAAAGAGGATGAAACTATAAACGAGTTTCTAGTCCGTCTTTATGCTCTCTGGAGAGAGTATAAACCGGATGAAACTGAAAGCAATCTAGCCGAACATCTTCTATGTCGCATGCGTACTGACTTACTGAAATCGGTAAAATTATCACGTAACGCTTCATTAGGCGAAATAATGGCTGAGGTTCAGCAAATAGAAGACATTTTATACCGTCGATCCAGGGATCAACAATTATCGCGTCAACTAAAACAGCTGTCGCTTCAAGAGAACGAAATATATTCAAAAGACAAATCAGCATTCGAGTGGTGTAACTGTGACAATCTATCTGATATGCGTTGTACACGCGATACGATTTTTCTCATCTAATGGATTATCTGTATTATGTCCTTATCTCAGTCCATTTTGATGTACTTCGATATGACATATTCTTGCGTTCTCTTCTCTGTGGACGAGTATATAAACGCGTGTCTTGTATGAGAACGATGGNATATTCAAAAGACAAATCAGCATTCGAGTGGTGTAACTGTGACAATCTATCTGATATGCGTTGTACACGCGATACGATTTTTCTCATCTAATGGATTATCTGTATTATGTCCTTATCTCAGTCCATTTTGATGTACTTCGATATGACATATTCTTGCGTTCTCTTCTCTGTGGACGAGTATATAAACGCGTGTCTTGTATCAGAACGATGCGATCGATGAGCAAGAAATAAATAAGCGTAGTTCCATCAGCGCATACATCTCTTCCATCAGAAATCGTCACAGTAACAAGCGCTTGGTAAACAGGAGTGTCTCTGCATCTGACCCTTACTCACGCAACCAGGTTGGAAGAACAATAGGCACGAATATTTCCCAAGAATTGAATCCAGACGATAGTTACGTATGTGAAGACCCAGTGTATTTCTCGAGAATTTGCTCCGCACAGTATGATAACCACAAACAGAGACGAGATGGGTTAGATACGACGAAACGAATGAGAAATGCTGAACAAAATGAAAACTCATCCTATCACATGCGGAACTCTTTTAAATCGTTGGTCGAATTACACTTAATTGAGACTGATCAAGTCATAAATATGAGCACGCGATGTATCTTTTGTAACGCAAAATGCGCAGGTCATTGTTGCTCAATATGTAGCACAATGAATCGCGAGCTTAAGTTCAAACGAATACTTCGAATCCTGGAAAGATGTTCGGAAGATCCAATGTACCTCGATGAGATCAATTTGGTTGTAAACAAAATTCAGCAGGTACGCTGGTTAAAATAAGATGAAATGATAATCAAACTGATATAATATACAAAAAATATTATTCTAGATTCAGTCATTGCAAGTGCCATTTGAATTTCATCCTATTGATGTCTTCGATGTACGGAAACATGTAGTGGATGTAGTGGCTAAGCGATATCTTGAAAAGGCGACAGATGATGTGCGTCATCTTATTCCAGTCAATGTCCTTGCTGATGGAAACTGTCTATACAATTCTATCGTTCTTTTAATGAATGATTCAGCAGTAACGGCAGAGGAATTGCGAGGTAAATGAGATTCATCTTTGTTCTTCTCTGCTATTGTAGAAAGCGCATCCTATACCGACCCTTTTAGTTCGAACCATTATGGAGCTTACAGCAAAAGAGAATTATTATGAAACTACGTATTTACAATTAATGGGACCTATCGACATCGCTATTAAATCCATTTGCAAAAACTATACATTTTCGGAACTGTATGAAATAGCCGGATTATGCAATGTACTTCAATGTAATATAGGCAGTGTCTATCCACAAATCGATTTTCAACACTACATGGCTTTATGGAACAGTGTGTTTAGACCCGTTCCTCCTGTTATCGCTAACTGTAGTATCGCACTTCTCTGGTCACATGCCCAATATGAGAACAATGCTCGAGCGATCAACAATGGAACATGGAGTCCGAATCATTTCGTTCCACTTGTCTCTACAAATATTCCAGACGAGTCTGAGCACTATAGCAACTCAGAATCAACCAATGTAGTAAGTTACGCATTAGCATATAAGGAACATACGATGTTGCTGTTAAAAAATTACTTTACAGACTCCACAAAAGCAAACATTGAAGAATCGTTCTGCTGTTCAAATAAGAATGCCTGAATTTCAGTCATCACCCAGTAGGCGACTGCGAACAAATGATGGAAGCATAGAGAGGGATAAAAATGCGCCAACTATTTCCAACCCAATACAATATCGAAACGGTGATAACAAAGTGCATCAACGCCAAATGCAACTTGAAAAGAAAAGACAACGCAGTTGCTCGAGTCGTATGAGCCAAACGACAGAACAGCATCAGACCCGACTAGCGAAAGCAAGAGAACGCAGCCGGTCTAGTCGAATTAGCGAGACAGAAGGACAACAGCAGAATCGACTTGAGAAAGACAGAGAACGACAACAATCAGTTCGTGTGAATGAAACAGAAGAACAACGACAGAATCGACTTGAGCAACAAAGGAAGCTCAGCAAAACCAGTAGAGTTAATAAGAAAATTGGAAAACAACCATACAAAAATGGTACTGACCAAAATAATGTTAGAGGACGAGTTTCAATTGATCAGTCTTGGCCTGAGGCGATTTCTCGTGAGTTAAAAGAAACCCGTTTACAAGAGTTTCTAGAACAAATGTCCATGTCGGCACTGGCGGAGTGCACTTGTGCAGTTTGCAATATCGGTACTGCAGAAAAAGATTTGAAAGCAGTACCAGTCTCACAAATTCCAAATATTCATTTACTCGAAGTTTCTGAAGAGCTTAGAGGGATAATCAAGCATTTGAACGAAGCCAGTAATGCTTCTATCAATAGCAACATGGAGACAATAGAAGACGCTGAAAGTAACAACATACGCGACTTTTGTATTTTACAAACTTATGCTAACAAGCTATACATTCTTTTTCTAGATAGCTCTAAGTTTAAATCGTCATCTTTCTATTACCAAAACGACGTTATTTTATACAAAAACGGCTTATTTCAACAAGATAAAATAGATATGTGCCGAATTTGTCAAAGCTGTCGTGGTGCACTATTGAAAAAATCTATCCCTAAGTTTGCACCTGCTAATAATATGTAGTTAGGTGACATACCCACTGAATTACAAGGATTGACAATTCCAGAGCAAAAGTTAATTTCACTTTGTCGTCATAATAGCTGCATAATAAAACTGCAATCACCTTTTCATTCGGCTACAACTGCCCAAACAGCCTTGAAAGGAAATTGTATTACTTTTCTTCAAGATGTACCAAATATTGTCGACAGTTTACCTCTCACACTTGAAGATTTATGCGATACGTTGAAGGTAATATTCATCGGAGCTCGACCACCTGATCGTATTAATCTGAAAAGAGTTCTCGCGGTACGCAAAAAAAGAATTATTCAAGCGCTACAATGGTTGAAAAAATACAATATACTTTATCAAAAAATCACTATAAACATTCAAAATATAAATCGGTTACCAGAAGATGATGTGCCAGAGTGCATAATGTCAACATTAGAACAAAATATAGGCGATGAAGCAATTGAATCCGAAAGGGTTGGTTACGTGCCGGATCCGTTGGTTGATACGATCGAACCTACTGCTACAGATGCCATTCCTATAAGTAACAGGTCAGAAGAGTCATGAAATGTGTTGTTATACATATATATATATCGTTTTAAGTGGTGTTCTCGATGTTAATGGTACATCAGTGTCTTCAGAAGAAATCTCTACTTATATTTTGAACAAGATTAAAAAAAACACAGATCAGACAAATGCCGAAAACGTTTACTTAATACCTCATTCCACAAAACCCGTCAATGAATATTTCAATCCAAAATTGTTAGCAGGTTTGTATTCAACTTTATTTTGTTATGGGATTGGAGCACCCGAAGATCAATCGCGCCCAGTTAAAGTAAATATACGAGAACATATCCGATATCTATTATCCTACAATGATCGTCGTTTCGAAACAAATCATAGTTTTATATTTGTGGTTTTCAATTTGTTGCAGCGCTGTGATGCCTGTTTTCATGCTCGGTGGACGGACGATTCGTCGTGCATATAAATAATTAGAGGATATTAATTATGTATGTAAGACAGATAAGTGCTTGTACAAAATTGTCTCGTAATTGATAGTGATTAGTTTTATTGATAGAAAAGACAACACACAACAAATACGAAAATATCTACAATGACACATTTGCAGCTAGGGCTGCCAAGTATTCACCTAGATCGACGTTGTTGTAATCACCAACTAATCGCGTAATTCTTTCGTCGAGTTTGCGATAAACTACTTTTTTCGGTTTTGGTTCGTGGTCTTGTCGAATTTGGGTAATATCGATCTCGAATTTCGATTGTTCAGCACGGATTTGAGGGCCATCAACAGATAACACAGTGATTTAGCCCGCAATACTTTACTTATTAATAAAAGTACAAATTCAGTCAATCCAATTAAGAAAAACACAAGTTCATGTATAGTAATTACATGGCGACGAATTGCCCGTCGACGAATCGTCCTAGTGCCGTAGCGTATTAGGAACGTATAGTATAAGTCGAATTAGACAGCTACTCGTCACTTGTGTTTATTCACTAACTTTTCTTCGTTATAAACGATTTAGACAAAGTTTTTATTTTTCCGACTGTTTCACATCTTCGTTTGTAAAAGAACTATGTTCTGAATTGTTCTCCAAAGAGCACGGAATTCCGATAAGATTTTTTCCCTTTACTGAAAGGAGGGTTATGCGTCGAGCAGATATTACAGAAGAAACGAGTTGATGTTCTTCCGTCCTTCCGTCCGTTTTACTTGAAAATTATCTAAATGGTAATTGAAAGCAGTTAGAGTTGACCGGAGGGTAATCGAGGTCGAGGATCTCGAATCCGGTGTTAGTTTTTTCATGAACACTTTCTGACCCGCTTTTTACGACAAAGAATCAATTTTTTAGACGATAATGTTTTACGCGGCAATATGTAGAACAAAATGTAATAGCTGACTGACGTCCGATCGCTGGATCTCCACAGTCATCAGCATATTAATGAGATCACACACTTTTATAAGCAGCTATACTATACGAATATCATCTTGAGGGTGTGGGGATGAGTGCCGGTGAGGGTGTAGGTAGGGGTGTGTAGCCTGGTTTTAATAGCGTCTATCTCAGACATATTCCACGGTAAGATGGGTTCATCTTAAATTGAGTAAAAGCAGGTAGCGTGACCGAAACGCTATTGTCGGATGCATACGTGCGGTGAGTTTCGCTCTCTTGTTCTGTTATGCAATATACTTAAAGAGGAAAGTTTGTGTGCTTAGTCGTCATGCGTTTAGTATCTGTAATCGCTATCGTCGCCAAACGTTCTCTCGACACTTGCTTTGAAGCAGAACAAGGTTGATAACTTTTTCGTGGCGTAAAAAATGAACTACGCGCTTGCTTGCAGTATTCAGACATAGTCAAGATTGGCAGCGAAGGCGACCGAAGGTCGTCTGAGCGCTCAGCGGAAAAGAGCAGCAGCGAAGAGGACCAAAGGCCTTCTAAGTGCTCGTACGGCAAATTCGCATATGTTCTCTTTCTGTGCTAATTCTATAATTCCAGAGGGGTGTGTGGCTACTAAAAGAGTGGATTCGAGAACAGTTGAGATAGTTGAATAGTTGAAAAGTTCAACTATTCAACTTTCGAGTTTCACACTACTGCAAACTTTTAGAGCGAGTATGAGGGGTAATAAGGTTAATGTTGCTAAGCGAATTGCCCTTTCAAACTGTCGAGTTTAGCCAAAAGCAAGAAAGGGTTAAGTTTGAAAATATACAAATTTTACATAAGAATTCTGTATGGACAGATGAACAATAATTGTTTGAATTAAATAAATATTTCATTCTTTTTTACTTTCAGATGCCATCTTGAGGGTGTGGCTTGAAAGTGACAAACAGGAGAATCTTCATACCATCACCTATCCACACCCACACTCAAAGAATGTTCTGTTTTTGAGTTTTTGATAAAGAATAAAATAAGAAAAAAGTTTGATTTATTGTTTTAGAGAAATTTGAGTGAATTATTTGGAAGGTGTTTATTGAACTTACAATTAAGTCAATCTGCTTTTGTATTATTTCAAATATCGTCAGATAAAATGTTGTCTTTAAAACCTTTATTTCAATATTATACTTTTTTTCTTCTCAGGAAATTCGTATTTCCTTAAACGACCCTGATTTTCAATGTTTTTTTAAGGAAAAATCACACTCAATTTTGACTGGAATATTTTTCTTCCGCATCCTACCTAAAGAATTACAATATTCATATCATGCGCTCCGTATATACAATAGAAACTAACTAACATCTGGTAACATTTTGTGTCACACTAATTTTAAAAAAGGAAACGCGTTCGTTGTAGTTAACTGATTTCAATGTGAAGTTTGTTACAAAAGACTTTTTTGACAATTTATGATGGTAAGACTTTGTAGATCACGAAATAATTTATTCATTTGATGAGAAACAATAACATGTATCAAAGTCTCCTATTCATTTATAATTATTTTTAAGTTTTCTTTTTTTTACTTTACCTTAATTAGTCACTGAGAATTAAATCAACAAAAGCTAGATGTTAGTCCACATAGAGAAGTTGCAATTATTTTATTCCTTCTGCGCTATTTACTGATAAAATTTTCAAAAAACTATGGCGTGTTATTCATCGCTCATCTATCCATATCGATATTCTCTAGATTATTGAATGATTTAAATCGAGGTTAGATTGAAATTCTACGCCCTTGATTACTTTTGGTTAAGTTTTTCTGGAAATAATCTCATATTATTCTCGAATTCATCTGCGAAGTAAGTTATTAATAAATCATTATAAAAATGTTGAAAAATAGTTCATTTTTTCTCATTATATTTTAAGAAACTATTGTCATATGCCTCTAAGAGTGTTATTGCCATCTTTATATAAGAGAGTACGCGAAAAATGGATTACATGGAATATTTTTGATTCACGAACGACAGATCCATTAATAGTTCGTCGTGAGATCTTATCAACTCGTCTATATATTATTCTTGTTCTTGTTTCTCTTATTATTTTAACAACATACGCTTCCCTTAGTCAACAGAATGAGACTAAAACTGTATTATTTCCAAGTGAATCTGTTTATAAAAATCTATTAAAAACATATACTNTTGTACAAAATTGTCTCGTAATTGATAGTGATTAGTTTTATTGACAGAAAATACAACACACAACAAATACGAAAAATATCTACAATGGCACATTTGTAGCTAGGCCTGCAAAGTATTCACTTAGATCGACGTTGTTTTAATCACCAACTAATCGCGTAATTCTTTCGTCGAGTTTGCGATAAACTACTTTTTTCGGTTTTGGTTCGTGGTCTTGTCGAATTTGGGTAATATCGATCTCGAATTTCCATTGTTCAGTACGGATTTGAGGACCATCAACAGATAACACAGTGATTTAGCCCGCAATACTTTATTTATTAATAAAAGTACAAATTCAGTCAATCCAATTAAGAAAAACACAAGTTCATGTATAGTATTTACATGGCGACGAATTGCTCGTCGACGAATTGTCCGTCGACAAATCGTCCTAGTGCCTTCATGCTCAATTGATAGCAACAAAGCCCTATTTTCGAGCATCAGCTGATGAAATTCAATCCCTAAGTAGTAAAGATATTGAAAGTGCTCTGGAAAACAGTTTGAAGCGAACGTACAGCAACGTAAAACCAAACAGTACGGTAAATAAGCTTCTTCAACATATTAAAACCGTTGGAGGCCGAGTCATGGGCTCAGCGTATTCAAGAATGGCTTTGCGTACACAAATCCACGCGCTTATATATAACCAAGGTCTACCTAGTATATTTCTTACAATCAATCCGGCTGATATTCACAGTCCTGTAGCACTGTATTTTTCAGGTGTTGAAATTAATCTAGATAATCTTCAAAGTGAACAACTTATGGATACTTATAAGAGAGCTGAAATTGTAGCATCGCATCCAGTTGCCACCGCTAAATACTTTCATATATTGATTAGTAGCGTCTTAGAAACCATGATAATGGGCGGTGTTCTTGGTCCAGTAAAAGCTTATTTCGGTACTGTTGAAAGTCAAGGCCGAGGTTCTCTTCACTTGCATCTTCTCATTTGGCTTGATCATAATATGAAACCGAGTGATCTGCAGAAAAATGTTCAAGATGCCAATTTTCGTAACAAGCTGATAGCATATTTAGAAGACATCATCAAAGAAGATCTAGACGACTTCAGGGAAAAGCATGTTGTCAAAAACTTTAACAGTATAATAGAACTTATCTTTATGCATACAAATCTTTGTCCTTTTTTGGTATGCTTTAGTGTCAAAGCCAATCAGTGCTTTCCCACGAAGCTCTCAAAACAACATTTATGCAGATCTATGCGCTGTTGACTTATTAGACGATAATCAAAATCAACCTCAATCTCCTGCTCGCGCAACATCTAGAAAACGGCAACAATCGCTATCAGTTCCAAACTGTTCGTCAAAAATTTCTCTTGGCTCTACATCCCGGCATCAAACGCAGCGAACACCAACTCAGAGCAAACAACCATCTCCATTATTGGTAGGCTTTTCCTCACCGATTTCGTTTGGCTCTCCATCTCCGCATCAAGTGTCACGGACTCTAGTCCCTAGCCAGGCAACATCAGGTAGGCGAATAAATAAGAACTACTTTACAGAGAAAATACAAAGTTTAGTTCCTATTTCAGATGTAATCAAGTCAATCAGAAAGTCAACTGTACCTCTAGCTTGCTTATTTGCTCCCAATCCGTCATCGCCTAATTTTTCATCTCGATTTCGAGAAGATGTAATGCAGTTGGCTGAAAAGGAGAACAAGCATAAACATACCGCCAGTTGCTATAAGTATTGTAAGTGCAAGGAAAATGAAAAAAAGAAGTGTCGCACACGTATGCCACGGAAATTAGTGCCAGTTTCGACAATTGATCCAGAAACAGGTCTTATCTCAATGCGTCGATCGGATCCACTCATTAACAATTTCAATGAGTATATTATGGCAGCTTGCCGTTCCAATATGTATATCAAATTTATTTGGAGTGGAAATGATGCAAAGGCGCTAGTCTATTATATCACTGATTATGTAACAAAAATGAGTATCTCTTTTCATGACACCCTTTCGCTTGTGCAAAAATGTGTTACATCTATCGTGAATCCATCTCATCAGTCAAATCAACAGAACGCTATTGAGAAATCATGAAAGCTTGTCTTACGGTGTTATAATACGTTGGCTTCTCAACAAGAGCTATCTGGAGTACAGATTGCTTCTTATCTAATGAAATGGGATGACCACTACACAACACACAAATTTCAGGGCCTATTTCTAATTCAAACTGAGCGATATTTGCAAACAGAATTGAATAGTATCCATGCCAAAAAAGCCCTGACAATCATAGAAGGTGAACAGCTTACAGAAGCTAATTTTTACTATCGTCTTCTTGTTTTCTAGATATAGCCGATGAAGACGACATAGATGATGGTGATGATGAAAGTACTAATATTGAGAACAACGACGAAGAGCAATTTTAAATTCAATCAACTGAATACGATGCGAACTATGTACTCGTCAATACAAGAATTGACTATCAGTATCGTGCCGATATCCTTAGTGACATGTGTTTATATGATTTCGTCAGCAATGTATATAAGAAAAAAATGAATGCAACAGATGTAAAATATCTGTCCACGAGTATAGTGTCATCACACGAAGAAACAGATAACCGAAGAGGTCGACCACCCAATAAGCGTTATCCTTTACAGAGTCAACATCCTCAAGCAAAAACACACGTTCTGATGAACTATAGTGAACCTCGTGTGCCAATTCTTTATGGGCCACAAATTTCTCGACAGGATCGTGTTGATACTCGAGAACGGTATTATCGAGCGCTCCTTAAGCTTTTCGTACCTTGCCGCACTGTCAATGATCTCTGTGACGTCAGCCAGACATGGGAAAATGCTTTTCAATCTCAACGAGATCGGATCTCCGTTGACTCGTGGAAGATTGTAGAAAATATCCAACTCTTACATGAATGCAGGAAGGATCGCGATGAGCACCTTCTTCAAGTTATCACTGAAGCTCAAACTGATGATTCAGAAATCGATCTAGTGCTTCTCCCTTCAGATCACAATTTTGATGATGAAGGCGATAATACAGATGACAATGAAGTCTTATCCGAGTTGTTAAACAACATACACGAATATACAACTACAGCTATGAATGTCAGCAAAAGAACGACAGAAGATCAATATGTTCAAGAGGCCATCGAGGCAGTCGAAAAAGTTGGTCGATTTAGTATTAGCAACAATAGCAATATAAACAGTAAATCATAGTTCTTTGCAATTATTATTTGCAATTATTAGGAATCGAAAATGGAAAAGAAATGTGAGTTTGTTTGTGTTTTTTTTTGTAGGCGTTCCTTCATCTGCTTCGAACGAACTTATCAACTCAATGAATCAACAATTTACACCCTTTGTTATTGCAACCAAAAGCCTTGTTCATTTAAACAAAAAATGGCAAGAGCAGTTGAAGACCGAGAAGGAGCGAGCTAGACAAGCTTTAATTACAGGCAGCTCTGATACACATGATAATTCATTAGATACACAAGTTGTAGAACATACCACAGTAACAGTACTGAATCCAAGTAATGATAACAACCATAAGACCAATCTAGGAAGTATTGGTGGTTCGATTCTTCCGGTTATGTCGGTTGCTGCCAATCTTCCCACGCAAAAAACTATCGCTGATGAATTCACATTAAATAGAGAACAAGTAGCGTTCGTCGTGCCGACTCACTTCACCCTCGACTGTGGAAGACAGATATACTGTCTGCGTGTGCTATTAATGAGGCGAATCAATCTAGCAACTTCACGTACGATGAAACGGTAAAACCTTTTCTGTTCGACTATTTATTAACTCTCGCAAATAAAATACCTTATTGTCTTTGTAAAACTAATGTGAGGATATAAAAGGTCTTTATTTATTGTGAATTTCTCACCAGTAACGCTGGTCGGGTACTCTCGCTGAACGCTCGGCTGATTTTCTTCCCATTGTACTTTTGTCATTAGAACTACACAAAAGATGTAACAACCCTCTCATCTCGCAGTCGGTCGTCGGCGTCCCTCCGGTCCGCCACTCCCGACTGCTCGATATTGCTCATAGCATGCACACTTTATCAAATGACAGGCGCCTTTCTCCTCCACCATTCACACACAATTTAACTGCCTCAACACAATCCGTATAAACAAATCTACGAGCTGCAGGTTGTCTTTCCTTTATTGAACGTTATCAGATACTGACAACCCGCCTTATCGATAGGGCAACATAACAAATGCATCTAAGACGCTCAATGCATGATTCATTCATCCTAGACATCGAATTTCACAATCTGATATCGCGCGCTAGTTATCGATCCATTTTATGATTTGCGGCAACTATCAATCAGCCTCATCTATCTTCACGCGCTATTCGTCACGTTTCCGTCATTCTTTGCCTTCAATCATGCCACCGATAGACACCATTCAAACGACTTTTTCTCAAGAGACCATGTGGCGAGTCTTCGTCCATGTTCCCAATACAGTATTCGCTTAGTCAAATTGCCGAGCTAGTAAATTCTTAGTTGAAGCCTCAAGTCATATCTCGACGCTATAAATGTGCTCTTCCGTCGACCATAGATTCGATCGGAAAAGACTACCCTTCAAATGCCAAATATTTCGAGAAAAATGATTTTTTTATCTTTCACTCTTGGCCCTTGACCCTCGCCCACATCCGTGACCATGAGAGGCCACACCGTGCCACCCAGCACAGACTATTGGCCACTTCAATCAAACAACATTGCAACCATACACAACATATCGAATGCACCACGAAGCATGCACAAGAGTAAAAAATATATAACGTCAAACAGCAATCTTAATGTGCCCTAAGTCAAACCCACTTTACAGGCATCCTCATCCTCATCTACATACTTCTGCCCGTCAACTTCGCCACCACGAGACCAATCGCCATTCCATCCAGAAATAGGCAACTCCGTGAAAAAGCATCTCTAACTCCCATTTATGACTCCAACTGGAACAATCACCCAACTACAAAAGAATACTTTTACCATTAATGCAAATTTACTACGAACACCAACAACAATCATCACTTACTCGTAGCACTTTTATTTATTTGTCTTTGTCGAATTCGAATATATTGAATAGGTTTGACTCAATGAATTAGCGTTACAAATGTCACGCCTGACTCTCGCCAATGTACCTTTTGATATCAGTACTTCTCGCCTTCAGTGCATTTAACTACGGTAATACATACAATTATTTGTTCGTCGTTCTTTTACTACTCCTAAGATCAGTTGCAGTTGCACAAAAGTTGGAACATCTATCCATTTCAACTGTTTTCTGACACCACTCCAAGCCATTCCAAACCCCCCTCAGCATCATATTCCATCCTACACCAATCGGCAAGCTATGAACACGTAACCCACATAAAATCCTCTAATAAGGGAACCGATCCGCCGATAATCGATTCCGGTCAGCTACGTCCAGACACCCACCCCAAAAAGGAGCCAATGAACGGTCACCAACGCTCATACCATCACCCCTAGTTTCATCTAACACCCCCATCCCACTTCATACATCAACCAATGTATTCACCCAAGACCCCCACCCACGCTCATACAATCACCCATAGTTTCATCTAAGACCCCCCCCCCACTTCATACGCCAACCAATGTATTCATCCGAGACCCCCACCCACGCTCANTTGCTACCAGCTAGAGTGATGCAAAAAAAGTTCGTATCAAAATTTTGTCATAATAATCTTAGTTGGAGTAGATCAAATAGCATGGGAGGATAGAGCGAAAGACGCTCTATCTGTTAGTAGAAAAAGAAATTTTTATAGACCTTGGTTTCATGGAATAAGACACCTGGCTCACTACTTTTGGATTGCCCTAAGTACTTTATTGTCACCAAAAGGATGCAAATGATTCGAAAACTTGCACCTACTGGAATTGCAGCCGCTGAAACAGGCGGTATGACAATTCATTCATTTTTGGGTGAACAACGCAACTCTAGACAACCACGAATGATCAAAACGGGTGATTCGAAACTTGAAAAGGACTGGAGACTAGTCGAATATCTATTGATCGACGAGATAAGCATGGTTGGATTACATCTATTAGCCAAACTCAATAGGATTATCTGCTCTGCAAAACATGTCGATGCTCAAATTCCGTTCGGTGGAGTTAACGTTATTTTCTTTGGTGACTACTTGCAATACCGACCCATTTACGATGCACCATTATATACTGATTTTTCTTTACCATTAAAAAAGAAAAAACAATCAGACAAATTGCTCAATGAAAAGGAAATTCAACAACGCGTTGCACGCTCTCTAATCCTTCAAACTAACTGCGTTGTAAAACTCACTCAACAGATGCGCACAGAAGACTCTCGATATCTTCAACTGCTTGAACGACTTCGTCGAGGACAATGCAATCATGAGGACTATGAGTTATTGCTAACACGAGTTGTGGGACAACCATCGGTAGAATCTCTTTGTGATTCGCCTTGGAATAAAGTAAAGGTTGATTTTTCTTCTAAGCAATTATTTCACTTCACCTTTTTAGGCGTCCATTCTCGTGTTCCGAAATGAAGTGCGAACGAAATTGAATAATAAGGCAGCAATTCATAGGGCAATAGAGATGGGAGAAACACTTATGGTGTGTACTGCTCAAGACAGTTGTAAAGGCAAATCAATTGAAGATCCAACACTCGTTAAAAAGTTGTTAGAATTATGTGATAGCAAAACCGAGCACTTACCAGGGCTTTTACCTTTGGTTTCTGGGATGCCAGTCATCTTGACACAAAACATTGCTATAGAACTCGGTCTTATTAATGGTACAAATGGAATCTTTCGACAACTTGTCTATGAAGAAGATTCTATTTCATCAGACATGGTTTCAGAGGCATTCCCTAGTAATACACGATATATACACAAACCATTGTACGCTATCATTGAGATTGTCCGATCGGATATTGAATGCAGTTTCGAACAACTTCAACGAAATCTCGTACCGATACCCCTAATGGAACAAACCTTTCGTATCAATATTGCTGATATCATACCAAAAGATAAGAGAAAATCAAAATCAAATCGAAATACAATGCTCTCAATTAAGCGGCGTGCGTTACCGCTTGTGCCTGCATATTGTATTACCACACACAAAAGTCAAGGTCAGACTTTGACTAATGTCGTCATTGACCTAAAACTGCCCAGCAGAACAGATGATCTTGCTGCGATTTATGTACCATTATCACGTGTGAAACGTCTGAATGATTTAATTATTTTAAGACATTTTGAATACAAAACTTTGTTAACAAAACCAACTAAGTCGCAAGTGGATGAAATAGAAAGATTAGATCAACTATATACAGAAACACAACTGCGGTTTGCTCAATTTTTCTAACTATCATTCTCCTTACATTGATGTGCCAGAATCTTGACGGTGAATGCTAATTGATATTGTGAGCCTTCAATAAAAATTGATTTTGTATGCCAAATGACTCAAAAAAGGATCACTTCGCATTAGACATATACACATACATATTCCAGTTTTTTTTAGCTAAAAAAATAAAAACTTGAAATTCCTTATTCGTATAGTATCACTGAGCTCCATGCTGTCAACAGTTACATGCAAAGCACATCCTCTCTCCACAGTCGAGGGCTCAGTGAGTCGGCACGACGAACGTTACTTGTTAGTTTGATTGTGAAATCACTTGATAAAGATAACTTCAACGAAAAATTAACAACGTACAACTAGTTAACGGGTAAATAAAATAAAATAACTGATCTGATCTGTGAGACGCGTAAAACCGT